GTCTCATATGATGTCACATCCTTATTCACTTGCATCCCCACCACAGAGGCTATCAGGGCGGTGAAGAAGAGACTGCTGAAGGATGACACACTAAACAACAGGACGAGCCTCACCCCAGACCATGCATGCACTCTGCTGGAACTCTGTTTAAACACTACTTACTTCCAGTTTAGGCAGCACTTCTATAGGCAACATCACGGCTGTGCTATGGGCTCCCCAGTGTCTCCTATAGTGGCCAACTTGTACATGGAAGAAATTGAGAAGAAAGCCCTGGCTTCCTTCACTGGCACTGCTCCCAGCCATTGGTTCCGCTACGTGGATGACGCATGGGTTAAAATCAGGACCCAGGAGGTAGAAGCTTTCACCAAACATATCAACTTGGTGGATAACAACATCAAATTCACTCGTGAGGACGCCAGAGATGACTGTCTGGCCTTTCTGGATTGTGCAGTCCACTTGGGAGGGGAGAGAAGCCTGCAAGTAGAAGTATATCGGAAACCTACACACACGGACCAATACCTGCTTTTTGACTCACACCATCCACTTCAACACAAACTGGGAGTCATCAGAACTTTGAATCACAAGGCTGTTAGATATTTTTAGTCAGATAGATATTGGATAGATACTTTATGTATTAGAAATGTTAGTGGAGAGAGGATGTCTAGTTAGACTGTTAAATGCTTAGGACCATTACTCAGGAAATGGACCGGTCGTCCTGCAGAGTTCAGCTGGCTCACGGGTCATTCAGCACCACGTTGTAAGGACCAGTTCTTGCTACTATGCTAACTCTGAGAGACGAGGCAGTCCAAGTAACTTCAAAACAGTGCTGATTTATTCAAAGGATCACAGGTAAAATTAACATTACATGCTCAGATATCTTGTACCTCTAACGTGCTCGCAGGCAGTTGTAAGATGAAAGACCCCAAACCTCAATTGGCTTATACATTATAAAACCTCGGTTGGGCTAGCCCCATACTACACAGAAACGTCAACCGAGATGTCTCTCTCTCACCAGCTTTGCAGCTGGCTCTGGCAATAGTCAAAACATGAAGCAAATTAACGTGTGAATGTGTGTGTCTGTTGGTTAAGTGGTGTGTAGCTAAAAACATTCTCACAACCTCTAATACATGTCGTGACTTAACATAGGAACATTATGGCTAAGTCTACAGTTTTACACATCATAATAATAATATTAAACACCCTGTCTGCTGACAGTCATCAACTCTTCTCTCTAGTTGTTCTTGACCAGATGTACCCTGCAGAAACTCATATGCAGGCCTAAGCATTTAACAGTCTAACTAGACATCCTCTCTCCACTAACATTTCTAATACATAAAGTATCTAATCCAATATCTATCTGACTAAAAATATCTAACAGGGCAGAGGAAGTGCCCACAACGGCAGAAGGGGCCAAGAAGGAAAAGTTACACATCCAGAACTCCCTTAAGGCTTGTGGATACTCTAAGTGGGCCTTCACCAAAGCTAGGAACACCAACAGGGAGAAACCAGAAACAAGAAGGGATAACACTGTCATCCCTTATGTGGCTGGTTTATCAGAGAAGTTAAAAAGGATATTTCGCAACCACAATATCCCAGTCAACTTTAAGCCAGGGAACACCCTGTGGCAAAGACTGGTCCACCCGAAAGACAAAACACCCAGACATAAACAGAGTGATGTGGTATATGCAATTAAGTGTAGTCAGGAGTGTAACAACTTGTACACTGTTGAAACTAAGCAAGCTGCTGCACAAACACATGGCCCAACACAGGAGGGCCTACCCCGGTCGACCAGAGTCAGCAGTCTACCTCCACCTGAAGGACAAGGGACATTCCTTCGAGGACAGTGCTCTTATATTTTATTCTTTTTTTATTATTATTATATTGCTGCATTTGCTGCTCAAAGTGCCTTAGATTTTGTGTTATTTATTTATTTTATATTTCACTTGTATTTTGTGGCATTCATGTGGACGGCAAAAAAAGAATTTCATTGTACAGGGAAACACGTTTCCTAACTGTGCATATGACAAATAAACACTTTGAACCTTTCGGATGAGAGGTGAAACGTCTTCGACCTAAAAACCTAGTCCAGTTGATTTTTCTCAGTTTGTTCAGCTTACTATGACCTGGATGACTGAGAATCTGCACGGACATACATATTCGAGGGTTTTCCTTTTTCCACGTCTTCAAAAATGAAATTCTTAACCGTTTATTACTGCTCTGCTCAGCTGCCAAGCTGGCATATCAGGTGCCGTCACGGTTGGACGTGGCCTGTCTAGGATGGGGCTAGCCCAGAAGGATTAATATTGTATAGGTTTCTAGGTTCGGGGTCTTGCTTCTTCCGGGCTGCCTGCGAGCAGCTCTGGGGGTGGAAGATGCCTGGACGTGTAATGTTAATTCTTGCCTGTGACTCTTTGAATAAACCAGCACGGTTATATTTTTTTATATATTCAAGTGGTCCGCTTCGTCTCTCTGAGTTCCTGGTTTGAAAGAACCAAACGAGGCTTTATAATAGAATGAAGCCTTTAAGATGAAACGTCTTTGATCTAGAAATCCAAGTCCAGTTGATTTTTTCTGAGGTTATTTTGGTTTATGAATACTGAGGTATTGTAGTCCTGGGAGAAGGGGGGAGGAAATGTAATGTGGACCAGCAGCACTCATATTACACTCGAACAATACTTTGAAGACCTTGAAATTTTAAAACTTTTTAGTTAGTGCAGAACCCTTCTGTGTTTCATTTCATGTCACCAGCTACTGTGCCATTTCAGCTAAAATCCCTTCTTCACACTCATATTCTGTCTTCTCCTCCTTTCCTCTTGTTCCCATCCCCCACCTCTGTCCTTCTTCAACCCACTCAGCCCCTTACCCTGATAATGACTTTTGAAATCCCCAGCCACAGGTAGTGCCAACAGAGCTCTTCAGAAAGCACCTGAATGCTGGAGTTGGTCTTGTAAACCTAGATTGCATGCAGAGATGGAAGGTGAAGAAGAATGAGTTAGAGATGAGATGGGATGGCGGTGGCCTCATTCACTGGAGGGTGATTGTAGGGTAGTGTTGCTGAGGTCAGGAAAAATGTTCATCCCCTGGATTTACACCCATGCAATGCTTGCATTGCAGTTTGGCAGGATTTGTACTTGCACTCCAGAAATTCACTGGACCCAGGTTTACCTGATATGATTTATAGCTCCTCACATTGTTACAGCTCTTCCTTAAATGTGTCTTTTGTTGGGTCCCAGCCCAGTACACAGCTGTAGTGTTGGCTGTTGGTGAATACAGTTATCTTACCTCATCCATTATACCCTGTTCACTTTTTCTTCTGTTTATCATAAAGTCAGTGATGTACACACAATCATTTTACTTCTCTGATATACCAACATACAGTATGATTTTTTAAAAGTAAAATCCCAGTTTCACACTTCTCAAGGCAACAATAATAAGAAAAGATGACAATGTAAAACTGAAAAACAAAAACTTGTATTGCTTCTTTATAGGATGTGCTGTAACTGACAAACATAAACCAGAACGAGGTAGTAGGTGCTATACAGCTCAATTATAAAGAGGGATTTTAGTCATGATTATGAAGCCTCAATGGTGTTTTAGTCTCAGACTGGGTCAAGGGAAGTATTCTACAGCACTGGAACATGGTATGAAAATACTTATAGAGGTATAGGTTCTATTTTTATTATAAAGCCTCTTCCGGCTCTTTCAAACCAGGAACTCACAAAGTTGAAGTAGACCACTTAGATTTTATAAAAAAATAACCGTGCTGGTTTATTCAGAGGATCACAGGTAAAATTAACATTACACGTCCAGATCTCTCCCACCACCAAACCTGCGCGCAGGCAGCTTGGAAGATGAAAGACCCTGAACCCAAGAACCTATACAATATTAATCACTTGGTTGGGATAGCACATTAGTGGTGTGTATCTAAGAACAATTTGACATGACATTTCACATTAAGACAATATTATGATTAGCATTACAGTTAATAATAACAATCATCCCTGCCTGCAGCCTTTGTCTGATTTAATTTACCTTGGCCTAGATGCAGTCTGCAAGCACATCAGAATAACTAAGCATTTAACAGCTAGACATCCTGTCTCCACTAAACATTTCTAGACAACAAATCTCTAAATATCTATCTGACTAAGAAATTACCTAACAGAGGCATCTTTGAAACAATGAGGTGGCCTGCATCCTGTTATTTAAGTGCATGTGGGGGAGTGGAAGGCCTAAGGAGATCTGTTGAGTGAGGAGGTGCTGCTGGTCATCAGTGGCAGTGTGTAGTCTGACCTACAGTAAATGAAACTGGGAGCCCATGACCTGAGGCCAGGATTGTGTGTTTAGATCTGTGGTTATATAAAATAAGAATACTAACAGATGCATTTTAGACTAGTTAAAGTTTTTTAACTCAACAAAATGTTAGACCTGAAAAAAGGATATTAGGATAGATTAGATCAACACACAACTGAGAAATTCTGCTTCAGTCTGTGTTAGAAATAGGTAAAGACAAACATGACAGAGACAGAAGAAAGCTACTGATGTGATGTTGCAAATGTTGCTAATGTGTTTCTGTAATATAATAGAAAAGTAAGAAGTGAAGTGAATTAGTAAATCATATTTTATGTAGGCATTAGAGGAAAGAGCAGTGCTGATCTGTGGAATAATGTGAAGCATATATGTTGTTGAAATATTTATAGTAATCTGTATTTATGTAAATATGTATTATATGTATTCTGTTGGTTTGTTTAAATATTTACAGTATGAGTTAATACTGATCACCCCATAAGGGGTCTCTTCTAGCTAATTTCCTGGTCTGGTGCTGTAGGTATAAAAAGCAGTTAGTTGCATTGAGGTGTGGTG